TAGTTGGAATAGGACTCTAAAATTCATGAGCTCTAGAACTATATGTTTTGCTCCCTATCATTTCAGTCAGACACGCGATAGCCCCATATTATCAGTGATAACACGTTCCAAACTTTAATTGACCTTTCCTTCGAATGGCGCTAATTGTAGCAAGCTAGCCTACTAGTATTGAACTGCTGGTTTGTACATAGGCTGGTTTCGCAAGTCATGAAGGCTAGATACGATTTCAGAGCTCTGAGTTCCAATACCCATCCCCTCGAGAGAAACTCTACCTATTCCATCATTCTTGTGTGAGTGGTCAAGCAAAGAAACAGGTGGTCTCAGGTGAGTGCTGTGCTGGAATAATTTCGCGTATGCACGCACAACACACTTCCAGCGGTGCACCCGGAAATCTTTGCTGATCCTTTATATTGGCACGTGGACTACACATATCGCAGGAACGGCCATTAACTGATTATGAACTCAGAGTAAAATCCTCTCTTTAAATAAATTACGAGGTGATCGACTATTCACCTTCAAAAAAGTTCCCATCTTCTCTCTTATCCAAATCACAAAGTTGTTTGAATTACAAACTGCTGCTTTGAAAAACATCCGCTGTTCTTGTAATTCAGAAAAAATTCTAAGTTTTTAGGGGTACGGTACCCCAACATGGGAATGGGAAGATCTATCTCGGAATCTGGTCCCTTGTATACGGATTCATAGCTGAGGTTTGCACTGTTTCAAATATTTAGTGAATTATGAACACACTACCTACTCACTTCTTTGCTCTTATGGCTTCGCTCAATTTCCAAGTTTCCTTTTTNTTTTTATTTTCATTTGTTGCGTGTTGAGGGGAAATCTGCGAGAACTGACGCAGACCTTCAACATAATCATCGCTTGCTTTTGTAATATTCAGCCATTGCTACTATATGTGTACCTAAATTCGATATGGTAATGCAGATTTTCAAAAACAATTGTTACATAGTGATCGTATCGCTTATCCTACTCGCAATCACTCTTTATTGGCAGCCACAAAAAGATATTTATCAGGGGATCATTGAGCATTATCGATCTTGAGCACCGACTTCAATACTGTGAAAGATGGCAACTAAGAGCATTCCGACTTCGAAATTCCTTGAAAGCAAAGTTCACGATAAATTTCGGTAACCCAGACTAAGACGAAAAATGGAAAATAGTGCGATGGAGGCAAAGGAACTGCATGGATCGGTGTATCCGAAGTGGGAAAAGCTTTGAAAAATCGTAAAAAGGGGAATGGACGAGAATGAGACCAGAAGAACGAATAAAAGTGTGGCGTTTGGACGAGCTACGCACAGTTCGTCATTGCGTACGTGTGGGTCCTCGTGCAAATAACAGACTACGGTAAGCAAAAATTCATTCACTTGAAAGCACAAGTAAACAAAAAACTAGTAACGGCAAAAATAGCTCACCTTTTCCAGCCTTTATGAGTAGGAAATTAAAAAAAGGATCGCGGCAGCAAAAAGAATAACAGATCAAAAAAGGAGGGGAGAAAAACATTGCCTCATCACCAGGTGATCAGCTGATTGTGTGTGGGTACTAGAACGAGTATTTGCAATCTGTATTGCCTCGGCACTCATCTGTTGTGGCACCGATCGAGAGGCGGGAAAGCCACTCGAGACAGCAACAGGGCTTCCACTATGCCCGGACCGCCGAGATTTTTGGAACGAGAGCGACACTTCTACCACCCATGGGGGCCACTGAGTACTCCTAAGGGTTCAACTCAGTAACCATTTTTATCGTGAACCGTGCCTTTAATTGTATTAGACTTTTGTCTCAAAAGTTTTACTTTGTAGTGTTCTATATAAACTCATATACTTTCAGTTCATCTACGCCATAGTTTTGATGGTGATGCTACGGAATCAACATCGTCGCATGTCTTGCTACAAGATCATGATTATTTTAGGTATCGTTTTCTACCTCCCTTGAATAATTCGATTGATAAACATGCAGGGCACACAGCCATTCGTAACTACAAATACTGAAAAATGTGTTTTTTCGGCTGATCATAGGATATTTAGATTGTACCTAAAGCATAAACTGTGCTAGCGTGTGCTCCAGCCAGAAACAGGGTTGTGGAAGTGCTGGCACTGATCTTTTCAAGAATAACTGCGAAAGCAGCAACGGGCGTCTAGATAGCCGTCGAGAAAGATTGTGAAGCAGCTGCACCCAAAAGAAGGCTATTCGTAATGAACGTTCTTACTTCTTTACGCCCACTGTGAACAGATGGGAGTGGTCTTTTACGCTTTTTCGTCATAACTTTTTTCTCGGAGGAGCAAATCGCGCGAGATTTTGATGTGTTTATCTACAACATATTTCATACTATACAGTGCGTTTCACAAGTATGTGCACACCCGACATTTNTTTGTTTTTTAGGAATATCATTGCTTCCTGTAACCTGTGACCACCACCATTCAGTTCCTTGTGTGCGATAACCTACGAACACTTTCTCTGAGAAGACATCGTAGCTGCTAACATAATTTTATATTAAAGAAATTTTTTCTCTGTTTCAAAAGTATGTGCACACTTAGCTAAAAACAAAAATATAACCGTCACATGAAATCAATGGGGCCTTCTAAGCTCCTTTAAAGCTTATCGACTATGAGGAGTCATTTGAGAATGGTTTCGTTACGGTAGATCTCTTAGCTACCTTTGAATGGAAAATTCTGAGGTGCACATACTTCTGGAACGGCAACTAGGCCGCTCTTTTTCATGCATTGCTAGATCCATTCGAGACCCTGGCAGCTATCGCTCGCAACCTATACCTGGCCGTCCACGTATTTTGACTGCTCAGGACAACAGGAGAATATCCCGTCTTAAGGCGAATACTTCTTTGTCTGTGAATAAGATCCGAGCTCAGATGGGTTTATAGGTCTCTCGTACGACCGTTTGGCGCTCTATCCGCTCTAACGAGCATATCACACGAGAGACGATGAAGAAGGCTCCTCGACTCAATACTCGCCACAAGC